AATAAACCTGTGTATGTACTGTAGGATAAACACTGTATTGATAACCTCAGTTCAAACCCACCAGCTACTTTTGGAAACTCTATACAGGATCGCTGAGTTGGAACCAACTCAACAGCACACTCAACATGTTTTAACTAAAACCTTAGTAACAATTCTTTTTTTTTAAATTTACCCTTGTATTTTTTTTTCTTGGAAATATATTTAAAATGCCTATTAAATTTATTAATGTTGTATCTGTAGGTGTGCTTATGAATACATATTTTATACTTTTGAAATTATAAAAGCTGCTGATTTTAAGGAAAAAAATAATAAAATTGAGATAAGCAGTTAATGATTGTAAGAATCCAATCAATATGCAAAAGTCTTCAAAACAACAACCAGTAGAAAATATTTCATCTCTACCCAAGTTAAGAAATTCTCAGTATAGGTACTTCATACAGAAGTAATAGCAATTAAATGTAATAATGTTAAACTAGATTTACTTTTAATGTATCTAAAATTTTTAGAACTTGTCTCCAAAATAAATAACTGATAACTAACTAAACATAAACTTGCCTTTTCATCGTACAAATTAATTAGTTGTGATTACCTAAAGTTGACAACATGTGACTTGATGTAGTGGTGGTTTAAACTGGATTTTTGAAATATCGTATCTATCTGAAAAAGAAAAAAATACAACAGAACAGAAATTTGTTAAATATTAGTTTCAATATGTCACAAATATTCTTGTATAAAACCTGCTGTGTCTCGAACAGCATCTATTTTGGTATTTGGGTATAACTATAGCATAGTGGTTACGAGTCGGGCTGCCAACCTCAAGGTCAGCAGTCCGAAACTACCAGCAGTTCCGCGGGAGAAAGATGAGGCGTTCTGCTCCTGTAAAGATTTACAGCCTCGGAAACCCTTTACAGGGTTACTATGAGTTGGAACCGATTCCATGATACTTAACAACAGCAATTCTTAGAAACTCATTTGGGCATAATTCTGTTCTCATAAAGATCATTGATAATGGAACAAGCTGTCTTATGGTCAAAATTGATTGATATATAAAAAGCTGAATTTAAAAAATGAAATGAAATTGGATGTTAACTATGATAAAATGTATCATAGTTGTGGATGGGGACTCAGAATTTGAGTATTTTTGAAAGCTCAGTGTAAATGGATTTATCACCTATTTTTCATCCACTACTATTCAAGCTTAAAATTATCATCTTCATGGATGTGATTGTACAATCAGTTTTTCAGGCCAAAATTTGATACCATGGCAAATGAGGGAGTGGAAATATTTATTATTTCAGAATATCTTTGAATATTCATAAGACATACTTATTTTAAAATAAAACATATGAAAGGATTACTTAAAATAGGATACGACTATTAATGTCATTTTACTGTCATTTTAAACTTCCTAGAGGGACAATTTCTCTGTGGGATAAATTCCTGAAACAAATTGTTTTTTACTTAAAACAACAATTTGTTGCATCACAATTGACTCATCAAACTGTCTTGTCAGGATAAAGGAATGATCCTATTCCAAACCTTCTTTTATACTGAGTCTCAAATTAAGTCAGAAAAGATGAGTTGGCAAACTTAGATATTGGTGTATGTTGAACAAGTGTCTCATTCCACTGATTCAATTTATGAAATTTTCTTTGGTGAAATACCCTGTGATATAATATAATAGACAGGTTGGTGAATGAAAGTTTATTGAGAAATTGTTATTTTTCAAAATCACCATGATTTACCTTTTAAATTATCTGTGAATGACAACTTTTAAAAGGAAATTATATGAAATATGCATATGACAAATGTGTGTATATTATAAAATTAATTCATACTCATAATTTGAAAAAATGAACAATATTAGAAAGTATAATTTAAAGTATTAAAATCATTACTAAATCTTATTTAGAGAAACTAATGTTAACATTTTTTGGTACTTGTACTTCTAGATTTTAGAATCTAATATCTTCGCGCCTCTTCCTTTTCCATTCTAATTCTATTATTTCTTGTTTATATTTTCCTTTAAATCACAGCTTTATGAGTAATATGGTATCCACTATAATTGAATACATAACTAGTGGGTAAAGAAATCTACAGATAATTTCTAAACTCCATTTTACTATTGATTTTAATCTTTTATCCTAGGAAATCTGCTATAACTGAAACCCATAGTCTAAATGTGGGGTCAGCAAACTATGGCCTTTGAGCCAAATCTGGCCTGTCGCCTTACTTTGTATGATTCATGATCTACGATGATCTTTACATTTTAAATGGTTGTAAAAAACAAAACAAACAGAAGAATAATAGTTTTGGGCCCGTAACATTTATATGAAATTCAAATTTCAGTGTCAATAAAGTTTTATTGTAACACAGCGGCACTTGATTGTTTACAGTGTGTCTATGGTTGCTTTTGTGTTACAACCACAGAGATGAGTCACTGAACATTAAATGTATGGCCCACAAAGCTGAAAATATTTCTTATCTGGCCCTTTATAGAAAAAAAAATTCTTACCCCAGGTTTGTTGTTGCTGTTATGTGCCATGGAGTCGGTTCTGACTCATAGTGACCCTGTACAGGATTTCCGAAGCTGTAAATCTTTACGGGAGCAGAAGGCCTCATCTGTCTCCCATGAAACAGCTGGTAGTTTTGAACTGCTGACCCTGAGGTTAGCAGCATGATTCATAACTACTATGCTACCAGAGCTTTAGGTTATTGTATTTCGTTTATTTTTGTTGTCTGCACATATACTTTAGGGGACACAACCAATATTAGTAGAATGACAATTTATTTACTATTAATCACTTTGACAAGTATTTTTTATGGTCCTACTACATGGCTGACACTGAGAAAGGCACCAGAAATTTAAGAAGAAGGCACAACCCTAAGCATAAATAAAGTAACACATTAAGGGTGGTTTATGGACATACAGTTTTTAAAATAATGTAACAAACTAGTAAATGCTCTAAGAAGTACATAGAAAGTTCTGTGAGAGAACAGAAAACTGGTGCTAATATTTATTTTAACACATTACTTTTCACAATCTGTGTTTATAATATTAATTAATCTTCATAATATCTTTGGGAGGTAGATAAAATTATCCTTGTGTTGTAGTTGAGGCATTAAGTAGTGTGGTGAAATGAATTCTTTTATATAGTATTTTTGTCTTGCTTTTTGGAAAAACATTTGAGAACATTTCTTCTTAAATCCTGAGAAATTATCTTTGCCCTCATTTTCTACTCTAGAGAATCTTTTACCAGGTTGATTGGCATTTCCTGGGTAAACTCTAAACAACCTGGTGTGATATTTTTTGTCAGTTCCTGGGCTGCAGTCTGCCCTCTGATTAATATGCACTTTGCAGGGATTGGTCAATAAACTATGTCAGTGAGGTGAGTTACAGCCCTCTGACTTATAGCCTCAGAGAGGTTTGGTCCATTTGTGATCCTACTGGGAAAACCATGACAAGGAGATATATATAACAAGGAGTTGTATAAAATCCACTGCTATCAAGTCAATCCAAACTCAATTCATGTTTGGTAAGGTGGAAGATCAGAGAAAAAGAGGGAGACCCCCAGTGAAATGGACTGGCAAAATGGCAGCATCAATGGGCTCAAGCATGGCAACAATTGTGAGGTTGGCCCAAGATCAGGCAGTATTTTGTTCTGTTGTGCAGAGGGTCACTATGAATCGGTACCGACTTGATGGCAGTCCATGGCACTTTCAATGTTGTCCTCCAACACCATAACTCAAGAGCAACAATTCTTCTATGGTCTTCAGCAAAATTGTATTTGCTTGCAGTATTAATGATAACTGTTTGATGGTTTTCTAATTTTGATGGGTCACCTTTGTTTGGAATGGACACACTTATGGATCCCCCTTCCAGTATGTATCTATCTTCCAAATTCTTGACATAGATGGTAAGTATCTTCAGTATTTCAACACAGTTTGTTGAAACATTTCAATTAGTGTTCCATTAATTCCTGAAACCTATTTTTCATCAATGCCTTCAGTGCTACTTGGACTTTTTCATTTGATACCATTGGTTCGTGATCATATGATACCTATTAAAATTGTAAAGCATTGACCAATTCATTTTGATACAGTGATTCTTTGTATTCCTACTGTCTTCTTTTGATATTTCCTGCATCATTTTGTATTTTGCCTAGAGAATCCTTCAGTACTGAAAACTGAGGTTCCTTCTGCATGAGAAATGCTCAGAGTGTTCTTTTTTGGTTTTCTAACTCCAATTCTTTGCACGTTTCATTATAATACCAGACTTTGTCTTCTCAAGCTGCCCTTTGAAATTTTTGTTCAGTTCTTTTACTCCCTAATTTCCTCCAGTTGCTTTAGCTTCTCTACACTCAAGAGTAAGTTTTAAATTCTTTTCTGATATCCATTATGTTTGCTGGTGTGGTGCTATGGACTAATGTGCTAGTCTGCAGAGTCAGTTTGAATCACAAGGTCAGTGATCCAAGCTCACCGGCTGCTCCCTGGAAACCCCATACAGGGTCACTATGGGTCAGAATCACTCAATGGCACTTAATAACAACAACAAATTTCTACCATCTTTAACTTTGAGTTGTATTTTATTCTATACATTTGAATTATGGTGTTGATAAAAAATATTGACTGTGTGCCCATGGCCAGAAGAACAAACAAATCTGTCTTGGAAGAAGTACAGCCAGAATGCTCCTTGGAAGTGAAGATGATGAGACATTATCTTTTGTACTTTGGCCATATTAGGAGGGACCAGTACCTGAAGAAGAGGACATCGTGGTTTGAAAAGTGGAGCATCAGTGAAAAAGAAGAAGATCCCAAACAAGATGGATTGACACAGCAGCAGCAACAATAGTTTGAAACGTAACAGTAATTGTGAGGCTGGTATAGAAACAGGCAATGTTTTCTTTTGCTGTGCATAGGGTCACTGAGTCAGAACCAACTTTTAAAGGCATGTGACAACAGTAATCATCTTTGTAAGTACAGTTCAGTGGCATTAATTATATACATCCTGTTGTTCAACTATCATAGAAACAAAACAAACAAACAAAAGCACATGCCAGTCCCACTCAGTTTAATCCTTCAATTCACTCTATCACCTGCTGTTTTTGTTTAGGCTGAATAAATATTTCTCATCCTGACAGGAATCATCTGTCATTTTTGGCTCATAATGCTGTTTTCAATTGTGGCCACATACATAACTAAAGTCTTCAATGCAGAGCCTATATGTGTTTTCTATGGTATATTTCCTGGAATATAGTGGGTTGGGCATTGGGCTATTAACTACAGGTCAATGGTTCAAACCTGCCAGCTGCTGTGAGAGAAAGATAAGGGTGTCTGTTTCTGTAAATATGTACAGTCTTAGAAAACCAGTAAGTAAAATGGACTGGTTGACAGTAGGTTGGGTTGGATTTTATGTCACCTAATGGAAAATGTATCAGAATCATGCACATAGTAAGTGCTTAGTAAATGATGTAAAGTGATACTGTTGGTACCCCAATTATTGTGTTATCTTTCCAGATAACTAATAAATTGCTTTGTATTTGAACTACTTACTTGTCTGTTGAATTTATGTTGCTCAGTTTCTGGTGCAATTATCTTTGCATAATATGTTTTTAAATAATATATTTTAGAATGACCAGATTTACCAAATAAAAATATAGGATACCTAATTAAATTTTGATTTCAGATAAGTGGAGACATAAAGTTTAGTATAAGCATGTTTCAATATTTCATGGGAATATTTTCAGTATAATATAAAATTCAAATTTAATTGAGCATACTGTATTTTATCAGGCAATGCTAATGTAGATTCAATTAGACATGCTCTCAATTTGCTACTTGCTCAAACCTCGTTCTTCACAGTAGTATTATCAGAATGCGATAATGCGAAGTTCAGACTTACCTCACTATGGATATTTTGTTTTAGGTCAGTCCCACTTTTTGAGTGTTCTACTGAGAAATCAGGATTGTATTGAATACTGGGAATCTGGAAGGAAGCCTGGTAATAATAAGGCTTCTGATCTGGAAGGGAGAATAAAATGAGATCTAATTTAGGTCATGTGAGAAGTGGAGGGGACAACACAAAAAAATGTATAGAATAGGTGAACTCTGGAAATTAAACATTCAATAGCTGCTGATCATTATGTCCCTCTCACCCTTTCTTAAGATCAGATACTCACATGCTGTTTTTAAGTGCCATTGAGTCTATTCCAACCCATAGTGACCCTGTATAGGGTTTGTGAGGAGCACCTGGTGAGCTTGAACCTCCAACCTTGCAGTTCGAATGGCTTTGCAGTCTGATGCATTAGCCCACAGTGCCACACCAGGACTCCATATATTCGCATAGTCATCAGTTATGTCCTGATGCAATGGCCACTTATTAGTGATAACTGATTACCTTAAGCTGCTAATTAAATAATGACAGGATGTAGCTTAGTCTCATATGTTGACCTCAAAGGTAGAGTTGTTACTAAAATATTTTCTATTCAGTTTACTAAATATATTAAACCACAAAATAACATAGGATACAGATTTATTAATTCATATTAAATGTTATATCACTCAAGAGATAATATTATCGTGAAATAAGCAAATTTTTAATGCTAGAGGTGCTTTTTATATATAAAGGATTGTCATTTCCCAAATGTGCAAACATTTATTTGAATAAAATTTTTTTTTTGGATATACTGAAAAAATCAAGCTTTTGAAATAAATTCAGTGGGTCCTCAAATTCTTTAAAAAGCACAATGAAATAGATACTTACCATATGCCAAAAAATAAACCAGGAGACCGATAATTATTGCCAGAACCAAGACAACAGCTGTGATAATAAGGACAATCATCCATGGTCTCAGTGAGCTTGTTCTTCCATTTAGTATCACTGGCCTTTTAAAAGAGAGTTGCATATTAAAAAATAGATAGGATTTGAACACCAGAATCAAAGTCTCATGTTTCTTTGTTTGTTTGTGGTATAGAATCATTTCCTGGAATTCATGGTGAGCTTGTATTGTTTTGGGTAACATTTGAATTTATTTTCCTTTAAGAAAAATAGAAAAAAATTACTAGTAATAACAATACATTTGACATCTGACTTTCTATTTTAATCAAAAGGTAAGTATTATACTATATTTGACTACTGAATATACTGTTTCATGTATTTCCTGGCCCACTGAACTTCAAATTTTAGAAAGTTTTTGTTGTTGTAAATGAATCAATACTATAGCTTTAGATCATGTGGTTGAAATCACAGTGAGCCTTAGAAAGTGGGGACATTTTGGTTACTCTTCTCATTCTGGTGTGAAAATACATAGTCACAGAACCATTACTAGAACCTCAAAATTAGACATGAAGCAAGACACACCTAGGATTTTGTCTGTTTGGGCCCCCTTTCCACCTTTTTGCTTAAATCCACATTCCACTGTTATGAGGCAAGTAATTTGTAATGTATATGAAAGGCGTCTACAATGGGGTGTGCTTAAGAAAAGGAACAAGAATAAAGAATTATAAAGAAGGAGTGATTAGCAAAGCCAAGAAGAGATAATCAATATAATTAACAACCAAAAAGTGACAACTTAGGTCCTCTAATTTTGGACATCTGTCATGAAAACAGCTGGTGGCATATGATAAATATCTAGTTCAAAAGGTTATATGATTTCAAATCTGAGTTTTTAAATTGATCATATTGTATAGAGTAAGCCTACATTTTATTTCAGTAAAATAGTAGTCAATTTAAGGAAATATATTAAAATAATAGTCTCAATGGCATGCAGAAATGGCAAAAAAAAAAAACAAAAAACCATGAAAATGGCATGCAAATGACTGACATATAGAAAACCCTGTGGATTCAGAAAAATATGACAAAGCTCTGTCCCCATCTCAGTGTCAAGACCCATGGTCTAAAGATAAAATTTGAGCAATTATAGAGCTGAGATAGTTGAGAAGGGGCCAGGCATGGTGGACCGGGGAGATCTAATCTAGAGAGAAACTAGACAGAAATATGTTTCTGAAAGCAAAAGGTACCTGCTGATTCTAGTTCTGTTGAAAGAGAAGAAATCATTTTCTCAAAGATCACTATCTGGTAGTAGTAAAGCAGAAAGTTGCTGTTGTTGTTGTTAGGTACCATCGAGTCGGTACAGATTCATAGAGACCCTATGCACAACAGAATGAAACACTGCCCAGTCCTGGGCCAACCTCACAATTGTTTCCACGCTTGAGCCCATTGATGCTGCCACTTTGCCAATCCATCTCTCTGGGAGTCTCCCTCTTTTTTCCTGATCCTTCACCTTACCAAATATGATATCCTTCTCCAGTGACTGGTCCCTCCTGACAATATGTCTGAAGTATGAGAGATGAAGTTTGGCCATCCTGGCCTCCAAGGAACACTCTGGCTGCACTTTTCCCAACAAAGATCTGTTGATTCTTTTGGATAAATGATGAAATATATCAGATGAAGTGTCCCTTGGGGTTTTTCTTGTAGCACTCTGGGACGCAGGGTATTTGTAGGCAATGGTGGGTGGCTAGTTGCTATATTGTCACAAAAGATGCTCCTCTATTAGTTGTATGTGTGACATGGGCAAGGGCAAGTCAGTGACTCTTCGCTGTTGGTCTAGCAGATCTTCCAAGACTCGAGCTACCAGCTGCTGCTGCAGGAGAGGACCAGCATGTGGAATTCTGAAGGCTGGAAACCTTCGGCCCACACGGAGGAGGCATGGGGCAAGGAAATGTAGGAGGAGAGGGCACTGGTGTTCCTGTTTTCTGGGTGCCAGCAGCCTCTGGGGACTCACTGAGCTGGGTGGCGAAACAAGAGGACCCTGACTACATCCTGCTCCACTGTGTTTCCCGTAATGTTGCTATGGAGTTGGAACTATCTAAACGTAAAAATGAAGATGGTCTCATTCTTGAGACTCTATGTTGTACAGGATGTTCCCTCCAGCTTGGCTATATTTATAGGTACATACCCAAGAAACTTGATTTCAAAAGATACTTATTTTACCTTCGTGCCAAGGCCACTGAAAGTTATATTTTAGGGTCTTCTGAAAAGCAAAATGTGTCAGAAGATAAGCAGCTTTTTAATCTTGAAAGCAGAGTTGAGATAGAAAAATCTCTAAAATAGATGGAAGATGTTTTGGAAACATTACAAGTGCAGCTGAGTGAGGTTGAATCAAAATTTTTTTCTACCAAAAGCTGAAATCTATTCTGGACTCCCCTGCCGCTGCTACCACACAGATGATTCTTTCATATGCTACAACCCATGCTTTCAGTTTATTTCCCTGAGAATCCAAGAACTTCCAAGCAGTATCCTTATGTCATGATCTTGAGAAAGATTTGTAGAAGTAACTTTTACAGTTGTATTGATTGATAAAGAGGTGATTGTTCCCCAAAGTTGAAATTTAAAGTCAAATTATGGTATTTGCTAGAATTGGGAGTTAGGGGTTTATTTTACTAACTGATGATTTTCTGAACTGTTGTCTTCATCAAGCTCATTTCTTATTTCCTTTTTCTCCCCTCATCCAATGATACCTTTAATACTTTGGGCAATAATAATATCTTAGCTTTTTTTTTTTTAAATGCAAGATGTAGTTGGATCTCCTCTGGAAAGTAATGCATGGAGCTCTCTTGAGAACCAGTGGTAGGATGAAATACTTTTCAGCGACTACAAGGGTAAAATGACATGTAGGTGTAGGATTCCACTTAATTCTGCTTACTGTTTTTATTTACCAACGTGTGCTTAGGAAACTTGTCAGAGTATTTATTAAGGGGAGTGGTAATCACCTGAGTGGATCCTGGGGAAAATTTCTGTTTCTGAGTTTTCTATCATATATGAATTTATTTGTAAATATGAATTTTATTGTAAATATGTTATTTTTATAATCAGGAAGAGAATAAAGACTAAAGGAAGGTGCTTTAAAAAAAAAAAAAAAAAAGAGTCCCTTAGGACATCAATGATCTGGAATGAGTGGGGATGATCCAGGTATCTTTGAGGTCTAGACAAAGGAGAATCTAGAGGCAATTCTTCCCATCCCAACATACATCAGTCTTAACTCAAGTGTCATGTTTGTGCCATTTCAGATGACACATTCAGAGTTCTTGATTTCTGGAGAGATCTAAAATTATTCTGGTTTGGTACTCTTTGCTTAGTGACAAGAAAAGAGCATTCCAATCTTCAAACAGCTGAATTATCTTTAGAAGAGCTGGGCTAGAGCTGGGTCACAGGCAAGAACTGATGAAAGACATATATATCACATTTATATATAACATAAACATGACCATGAACAATTGAGAACTCTTGCAGTTGACATTTTGGAATGTCTTCTGTGTGTCAATCAAACATCTACTGCTAAAGATTAGAAAATGAATAAGACATAGACTTCTGTCTTTAGGGATGTGTAATCTAGAGACACATTAAATAACTAGTATGTTGTTGTTGTTAAGTGCCGTCGATAAGCGATAGATATTAAAATAGAATTGTGGTCGGTTTAATGTGAAAGATGAGTAGATGCAAATAGTTTTGCTTTAGAAGGTATCCTTTGAACTAGCTCTTGAAGGCTGTGGAGGAGGAATATAGGCAAGAGTTTTGTGTACTCAAAGCAGAAGGAGATGCAAAAGCAAAGACAAGAAAATCTAGCATATACATGAGCAAACAGTATGTGAATGAAAGTAGAGGTAAACTTAATACATTCATTTGCTAGTTGAACAGATATTTATACAGCATTGCTACTGAGTGCCATTGAGTTGCTTCTGACTCATATCAGTGATGCATAGGGTTTCCAAGGAGTGGCTGGTGAGTTTGAACAACTGACCTAATGATTCAAAATGACCTTGCAGTCTAGTGCATTATCCTATAGCACCACACCAGGACATTACTAGGTATAAAATAGGGAAATGGATCTTCAGTAGATCTTCCTTCTTAAAGAACTGCAAAATCAATAATTCAAACCCATCAGCCACTCCTCAGAAATCCTATACACCATCATTATGAGTCATGGCACTGACTGGATGACACTTAAATATAGCATTCAACGTCTAGCTTTTCCATGCATGAAAAATCATTTGAATTACAAGGGCTTAGATTAGGCGCAACTTAATTTTCAGAGTATTGCTTTTGCTTTTAGGAGGTCTTTTGAAGCAGATTTTCCCAATATATTGTTGTTGTT